GCGAATTAACTTTGCCTAAACAGCTACCACCGACTCCGCATAAACTTAATAAATAATACGCTAAATGACTGGCTTTCGTAAATGACTGGAGCTAGAGTTGTCGAAAAAGTTTGGCAGCTTCCAACACGCACACTGTTGGTAGATTTATAGAGAACCCATAATCTGCAACAAAGAGAAGCCAGAACCAATTCGACCTTGAGTTATCGGTTGAAATATCGAAAAGCCGAAAGAAATAGCAAAAATTATATTATCCGGCTACGAAGCAAGGTAAAACATATATAAAGTCAGCAAAATATAAACAACCCATTTATTCATTTGCTATTAACAATGCAGTTAAGTGTTTATATAACAGCCATTGAGATCCAATTAAAACTGTAAATATTTTTGAACTCGTTAATTGTAATTTAATGCGCAATAAGGTCAAATACTTGTAAATGCACAAATACATTCATATGTCGAATCTATTGAGGTGCAAGTATAGTCGTAAAGCTGGCAATTTGAATGTTCGAGTTGGCCGAAAATTAGCTCAATTAATCACCTGGCTGACAATCGCGTGCCTAACGAGCTCCTCGGACTGAGTGGATTGTTGGCAAATCTTCAATTTGCCAAATTAGATGTTTATAAAAAGGCAGCTCTAGTGAAAAGGCGATTTTAAGGTGTCGCTTACCGTCTAGGGGGAAGGACGCTTCGCACCTAACTTTTGGGCCGTGATAATTTCTCAAGGCACTTCGGGCTGAGTTCGCTTTCATAGTGATTAAATTATGTTGCAAAGTGTTTGGCGTCGCAGCAGCCCAAGCTACCTTTATACACAATGTAAATTCCATTAGGGCGCTCATTTAGAGCAATTAACATTATCCGAGACAACGAACGGGTGATGATTTGTAAAATTACTTGGCAGCTATTATAACGGAAAGTCGCGTACAGTCTGCTTTATGATGTGGCCCGACGGACGTTACCCGACGTCGATGACCGACTACGTGTAAGTACTGCAGCGCCTTTCAGCTCTACTAAAAAAGGTAACTGTGAGCACTCCTCAATTGGCAGCTACAACTTGACTCTGTTGGTGCTGACCTACGGCATACCGATGATCGTAATGCTCGTTTGCTACTCGCTAATGGGCCGAGTGCTGTGGGGCAGTCGTTCGATTGGCGAGAACACGGAACGCCAGATAGAGTCGATGAAGTCGAAGCGAAAGGTCGTCCGCATGTTCATCGCCATCGTCTCCATCTTCGCCATTTGCTGGCTGCCCTACCACATGTTCTTCATCTATGCATACCACAACAACCAGGTGGCATCCACGAAGTACGTGCAGCACATGTATCTCGGCTTTTACTGGCTGGCCATGTCCAATGCCATGGTGAATCCGATCATCTACTACTGGATGAACAAGAGGTAAGCATTTAATTGAAGGAGATAATTTTGTAATTAATTTATCATTTTACAGATTCCGCATGTATTTTCAACGGATCATTTGTTGCTGCTGCTTGGGTCTGACGCGCTATAAGTTTGACTCGCCGAAGAGTAGGTTGGTGAACAAGAACAGCTCGAATCGAAACACTAGAGGTATGTAACTGTAGCTCTATCATGTGATACATCAAATCGACATATACATACATATGTGTTTGTGGTGTGTGTGTGTGTGTGTAGTGGAGACCAAAAGTCAGTGGAAGCGCAGCACAATGGAGACGCAGATCCAGCAGGTGCCCATCACATCGTCGCGGGAGAGGCAGGCGGTGGGGGCAGCACTGAACCACATGGCCGTAGAGTGCGTCATCGAGAGGCCAATGGATGACAATAGCTCGCCCATTTGTCTATCTATAAACAACAGTGCGGGCGAGCGTCAGCGAGTGCGAATTAAATACATTTCATGTGATGAGGACAACAATCCGATTGAGGAAGCATCCGAGAGCAGCAGCAACCACAGTCATGGTCACAGCCATAATCACAGTCACGGTCGCAGTGGCAGTCACACTCACGCTCACAGATGCAGTCACAGCCACAGCCAAAAGACGACAGGAACTCAGGAACTGTGATGGACAAGTTTCAAAGCGGATTCGCCTTCTTCGAGAGCCACTCAAAAAAGAAAAAGTTTCATTGTAAATACGAATATTAGCGAGATTATATGAATTTTTAGAGTCTAATAAAATACGTTCTAGTGCAGTCCATTTTGTACTTACCAAAGCATCATCGAAGTTTTTAAAATAAATCTATAGGTCTAAATTTACTGTAGTGGCCCGAATATGAATGTCTTTGTGAATCGTTACTTAATACAATTGTATGTATTTGAAGTTGTTAAGTGTGAGTTTTGATTAGTTTTAAAATAATTATTTTGTATTTTTGTTTTGTTATGAACAGAAAAGTTTGAGCTCGATATTTATATTTGTATATATAAATATAAAGATAAATATGTATTTGTGTAAATTGTGAATAAATCGTAAAATTTGGTGAAATTTTCAAAAGTTGTCAAGCAAAGTTTTGATGTTGCCAAATTTGGGACACGGATATTCATGCTAGAATATTGGCCTATTTTTGTAGTAATTAAAATTAGGTAAGTAAACTAAACTTAAATACATTCTTATGGGTCAACCATGCATTCAGTAGCAGGGCTTCAAGGAAAATCGCTGTTGAGCTATACTATTTGTATACCACAAGTCCATTAAAAACGGCGTATCAGAGTCAATACAGTTGTTCACCTGTGCAGTAACTCAGAAGTTATAAGACCTAGAGAGCTGATATTTGACATGCATACTCGTGTATACCATACACAGTACAATTTTATCATATTTCTTTCGATAGCTCATCCAATAACTTTTAATCGAGAAAAATCCTTTTTTGTTTTTTCAGCCTCATTTGAACACTTTTAGACCTGGAGACTTCAGATTTACTGTGTACATACACGTGATGAATACAACCTTTTTGTAATTTACATATTTTAGATACCATATTTAGATACCACGTATCGCAACATTATGATCACGTTCTGAAAGTTTCATTAAGATTGTACGTCTAGAAATTAAATTAATCAACAAATGAATTCTCATAATATTGCCCACACTGCAGCGCAGCCCAAGCGCAGTCGCTGCTTACTGCGCAGTTAGCAGAGCGCG